AGTTTTCAATAAATCAATATTAATTTTTCAATAAATCAAATGAAATAACTTATCTATAATATGAATCTGTTTTAAGTTTGTTAGAAAAGTGTTTCAAGTACTTAGATACCGATTTTACACACTGGATACCATATTTACACACTAAATACCGGATTATAGCTTAGATACCGTATATGAAGAATGGATACCGAATTTACAGCTTGATACCGGATTTACAGTTTGAATACCGTATATGCAGTCTGCTTAAACACCGTATTTACACATACCATTTTTCGTATTATAACAGATTAAAAAATATATAACAAATCCAATGATTTGTTAATTACAGTAAGCAAAAAAATAATGAAGAAACAGTAATAAACTTTTAACCTGAGGCCAGTGTTACACACGGTTTCCTTAAAACAGATTCGCCCCCTCACTATACGTGCTTGATGTATAATTTAAGCGTCTGCTTCCCAGGATACAATGGTAGAACAGTAAAATCCGAGTACTACAGATTTTACTCTTGCGAACTGAGTTAGTGCCCGAACAATATCACCACAAAGACTGAAATAGAAACTGAAAAGGAAGACAAACTCGAACTGTATGCAGTTGAATTTTCAGATGAAATTCGTGTGTTAAAAACTTGAAAAAATCGAGATATATAAAGACTTTGATCTTGTAACTTGCCGTTCACATATGGCAATTACCACAGGAGTTTCGGAAAATGAAAAGCCAATTGAAAAATAAAAATGTAGCAAAACGTGGACACTCCTAAAGGGCTAATTTTGCTCATTTCGATCCGACATTCGTGTACGCAGGTCACGCCCGCACACAAGTTCAAGGTCCGAAGCCTATTTTGGTTCATGATTTACACCCCACTGCGCATGCACATGGAGAGAGTATCTATGCTACACATGATTACACCATTCTGAAGTGTAATTCTTTATAAAGTGGTTTTAGTTTTCATCTACTTTCTATGTGAGACAAACATATTTTTTAGTTTCTCACCAACATAAACTCCTTTTAAGTGGCACGCTTTGAGCTTCAATTTCTCATTCACCCGAGCATCAATTTTGGCAAGTAAATATACGATTTCGATGTACTCACAGAGGAGAACACAATCAATCTTGATTTTCCAAAATAGCCAAACGGGTCTCACTCAAAAATTATGTCAAAGTCATCTATATACTCTTTTTTTTCCAACAATTTTGTGAAAGGTGCCAATGTGTTTGGCAATGCTAATGACACTGCAGCTGGTATTGCACCACTTGTTCATTTGGCGATTTACAAAGTTTGCTCATTTTTCTGTTCAGAAAGTGTTATGCTTGCTCATTTTTCCTTCATATTAGGATTTGCAAAAGACGAGCAAGTTTGGTACCATGAACAAAAGAAAAAAAGCCAATTGGTTTAATATCACTGTCATATGCAAATATTAAATTCATATAGTCAATTGGTTTGAGTTGGACGTTATCCCTTCATAAGATAAACCAATTTTTATATACATCATTTAATTTTATTTAGTAAACCACTTGCAGCTTGTTTTATGAGATAAATATCACATTGAAAACCAATATTACACTTGAGCAAAAGCAAGATCGCTACTTTAATTAGTGACAATGAGTTTGAGTTGGCTTAGATAGATTATCCTATTTTCGTCACCTTCGTTTCAGCGCACCAAATTTCGTCATGGATCTGGTGGGTGAAGAATTGTGTTTTTTTAAAGGAATACTATCACCTCAATTTAAGATTTTAAGTGATATATAGTTTACTTGATATCATAGTCAATCAAAAANTGGATCTGGTGGGTGAAGAATTGTGTTTTTTTAAAGGAATACTATCACCTCAATTTAAGATTTTAAGTGATATATAGCTTACTTGATATCATAGTCTATCAAAAAATTTGGTTCCAAGTTTCGGCACCACTCATTTATGAACAATTGAGCATTTAATAAGTTGATTTGAAGAAAATATTTAAATGAATATACGTGGTTCTTCTCTGTGACAAATTTATGTTTTAGATGAAATAGTTAAGAATTTTAAGATGGTAAATCTTAACTTATGCATGTAAAAGTGCATTTTTCACCATTTGCTTACGTTCCGAGTTCAAGTTTCTTGTAAGTAGTAATAGAAATACTCGTTTCATATTGATCACCCAACTTCAGTTTGACCACTCAACTTACAATTTCATTCAATTAGACCGCTCCATGTATAACCATCACAAAAACAAATAACTAGTCCCACGTGGCTGATAAAATGCATGATCTAAAGCACGTGTGATGTTAGATATGCACGTTTTACTAATGATAATTGACAACTTGGATGAGTGAATTAAGAACCTTAAATTTTCCTTTGGTCGATCTTCTTTCAAATGTCAAACTAATTATTGATTTAGCTACAAAGAAGCCGTTAAGCATTCCGTTAGCTCCTGGATTGATTATTAGTCTTGGTCACGCTAGCTTTATAGATGAAATGGACAAAATGTAAATTAAATGTAAGTTTTGTGATTGATCTTGAAGTAAATCGAACCAATATTGAAATAAACATGAAAGTTGAGCAACCTCGGATGAAAGTTTCCCTAATGATGTCTCAATATATTAATTTAATATTCTTGGTGCCAGCACGAAATTTCAATTAAGGTGGCCTAATTATGTTTCAATAATTCACCAAAAGTCAAAAGTTTTGCATCGATAATGATTTCACAGGCCATAATTTTCCAATCTCTTGTTTTCTAAATTCTTGCCCTGCTTGAAACTCTTGAACTTCATCAAGCTACCAAAATTTGTTTTCAGTAGCACAGATCAAGTAGAATGATACATGCCTTCACGAGAAAGTAACAATGTAAGTTTCCGAATTATATTTATTCATGCAAAGTAAAAATGATTTTGTTTTTCTACGCTCTATGACTCTATCTATATGGAAATTAGATGAAGGAAAATATCGCCTAACATTAAGTAATGGAGCTCAATAATAGCACGGCTATGTTACTCTAAAGTCTGTAAAATTGTTTTTCATAAGTAGTTCTTTAATTATGCTTTAATTTGTCAATGGTGCATGCTGGTTAACAAGATCTTAAGTTTCTTCTACTTGCAGATTACGCAGATTTCCCGTTTATGCTTAAAATCAAAGAGAAAAGGAGCTGAATATGGTTTATTCGTTTCTGCAGATGACCATGTGAAACATGTGTAGGGGCTGAGAACCATCCATAGGGGCTTGACTTCTGCTGCTGATCTAGAACCCTAATGGACCTTACTTATGCTGGTTATGTCACGAAACTTCTTGAGTACCTAGACAACTGCAGGGGCTTGATCTCTACTGTTGATCATGCAGAAATTCCCATTGATCATCAAATCCACACTCTTAAAATGAATCTGAAGTTTTTGAGAACATATCTCAAGGTGCGGGAAGGAAAGGCCAAACTGTATGATAATGGGAAGGAAATCCTATATTTTGTGCAGAATGCTGTGTCAGAACTTCACTCACTTTGTCTTAAACCAACAACTGATAAAAGCATGACCAGAGACTTCGAACTCTTCATTTCTAATATGATAAATAATATGGAGGACTGCAAGAGGAAAATAAGAAATTGCTCTACTTGGAATTATTCGAAGATACTATCAGATGCTCCCTTGACGAAAGAAATTTTGAAGGAATTGGCTGATTCTCTCCTAGAGAATCTGAAGGATCTCCAGACCTGTGAAACCGATTTGATTGTATCTGTGAAGAAACAAATTGAAGCACTTGAAGAGAAGGTAATATTCGTGAGAAATTTCCTGAGTTGGCTGGTTGATCGAAGAGATTCCAAGGACAGCATTCAGAAAGAGAAACTGGCAGGCCTTTTAACTCGTATAAAATCTGCTATTCTTGGAGCAGTTTATTGGTCATACTGCTGTTTCGTCGGCGAAGTATGGGAAATTGAATATGTGAAGTGTAACATCTCTTATGTGGTATGGATGATTAAGCATATTGAGCTAGAAGTCAAAGAGATCTGTGTTGAATTTCTAAAAGATTCAAAGTCATCACAACCAGACTCTCTTCCAGTGAATCTGCAGACTTTGGTGTCCATGGATTCTCTCCTCAGCATTCTGATGCAGCTACTAGAATCAGTGACGCAGGAGCGTGCAAATTTGATTAAGAACATTAAGATGAAGAAGAAAAAGAAAAAGAAAAAGGGATCAAAAGGAAGAATTGAGGTCCAGAGGAATAGTTTTCTTCATATAAATCAGGTGTGCTTTTAAACATTGTCCTTAAGTCCCTTTACATAGAGAATGACTCTGAAACTAAATAAACTTCCTATCTAAACAAGTTTAAAATAAAAGATAGCATTTTCAAAATCAAACTCCTAACAAATAACTACTATAATCTAATAAACTTCAATTCTACTTAATCATAGTCTTTCACCTTGAATCGAGTTTTAGCTCTTTCCTTGTTGCATCAATCTGAGTCTACTTTTATGGTTCCTTTGAAGGTTAACATTGGAATACTTAATCAGGAGATGAGATTCCTGAGGGCCTTGTTCATGGATCCTCCACCAGTGAAGCAAAACAAGCATGAGGAAGTAGATGGGCTCTTGACAAATATTGAAGCTTTTATTTGTGATGCAGAATCTTCCATTCACTCACTTTACGTGGACGAAATGAAAGAAGAGACAACAAATGAAATGAATATTTTGTTTTCTTCTTTTCTAGATAAGATTAAACTCATCAAGTCTGAGGTCAGAAATAATTATATCGATTTTCCACAGAAACCAAAATTCAAGTCCATTGGGACTGATGAACTGGGCTTTATTGACTTGGTCTTGGAGAATCTGGATGAGTTTCTCAAGTGTGGGGTGGATTCAGTCGGTGCCTTACAGCATCAAGTTCAAATAATCCAAGATGAACTAATGTCTCTGAGACTGTTGCTCATCTTAGAGAACGGCTATAAGCATGAACATTCAGAAGTTATAAAACACATAATAGATGTGGCCCATGAGGTAGAATATGTCATAAACTTATATGTGGTTGGAGATGGTCCTTTATGGTATCATATATTAAAGCTTTCTGACCTTTTAGAGGAGCTTAAGCTTATTAAGACAGAACGCGGAGATATTTTTAACACCGAAAGGAGCAACGACACAGTGCATAATATTCAGAAGACTACCCCTCTCGTGTCACGACAGGCTCATACAGTAACAAGTAAAGAAGTCGTGGTCGGATTCGAAGATCAAGCACAAGAACTAATAAACCAACTTAAGGGAGGATTAAGACAGCGAGGTGTAGTCTCAATTGTGGGCATGCCTGGTCTTGGCAAAACAACTCTGGCCAGAAAACTGTATAATGATCCTAACATTTCCCTTTATTTCGATATATGCGTATGGTGTTGTGTTTCCCAAGCATATCAAAAGAGAGAGTTATTGCTTGACATATTAAGTCATTTTGGTGAGGTCACTGATCGAGAACGTAAAAAGAGTGATGAAGATTTAGCTGAACAACTGTACAAAGGTCTAAAGGGAAGGAAGTATCTTATTGTCATGGATGACATGTGGAACACTGATGCATGGGATGACTTAGAAAAATATTTCCCAAATGACCGAAATGGTAGCAGAATTATGATCACAAGTCGGATCGAAAAAGTAGCTTTGCAGGCTAAACCAGATAGCTCTCCGCATTTCTTAAGATTGTTCTCTGAAGAAGAAAGTTGGAAATTGTTACAGGAAAAGCTATTTAAAACAGAAAGCTGTCCAATGGAATTGGTGGAAATCGGTGAGAAAATAGCAAGAAATTGTAAAGGTTTACCACTTGCTGTCGTTTTAATAGCTGGTATTCTTGCAAAGATGGACAAAAAGATAGATGAGTGGAAACAAGTTGCTGCAGGTTTGAGTACTTTGATATTTAATGACTCGAGGCAGTGTCGTGATATATTAGAACTGAGTTACATGAATCTACCAGATCATCTAAAACCATGCTTTCTTTATTTTGGAGCATTTTCAGAGGACAAAGAAATTCCAGTTCAGAAGTTGTTAAGGTTGTGGATAGCTGAAGGGTTTGTTCCGAAAAGTGAGGTGAAGGGTCTAGAGGACGTAGCAGAAAATTACCTGATGGATCTAGTTGGTCGAAGCCTAGTAATAGTTGACAAAACAAGATCTAAGGGAGGGGTCAAAACATGCCGTGTTCATGATTTATTGCACGACTTTTGCTTGGAAAAAGCTAAAGAAGAGAAGTTTTTGCAGCTCATAAATGGGCGCAATGAGCTTTATGCTCCTTACTCAGGTGGTTCAGATGATAATGCTAGTTATCATACATTTTACTCTACAGTTCCTGGACACCCTCGGTTATGCATTCATAGTGAGCATAAAGATTTTGTTGCATGGAAGCCTTTTAACAGACAAATCCACTCTCTACTGTTTTTTGCTACTGATACAAGGATTCTTTTCGAGGATATCTATCCTTGGGATTACTCATTCATTTTCTACAGTTTGAAACTTCTCAAAGTGCTGGATTTGAGCAGCGTTAATATGGAAGATTATATCCCTAGCGAAATAGAGCTTCTGGTTTATTTGAGGTACTTGGCAGTTCGTGGAAGAATGAATTCTATCCCATCATCTATAGTTAACCTTGCAAAGCTTGAAACTCTGTTTGTGAAAGGAGTAAAAGGGGAAATTAAATTGCCAGATACTCTATGGGAGATGGTAAACTTACGGCATGTGTTAATAGAAAAACGTGCTTCTTTGAGATTGCTTATCGGAAGGAAGTCCAGCCAAATGCATAACTTGAGAACATTTGGTACACCATATCTTTCTCACGATGAAGTAGAGATCATAAGAGGATGTCCAAATCTCCGGAAGTTCAAATGCATATTTCCCGAATCGTGGGATTCAGTTAGCAATTGTAACCAGTTTCCAGCATTGGACTTTCTCAACCAACTTGAATCACTGAATGTCTTTTATTATGGTACGGTGAGACGTCACTGCAAATTTATGTTCCCTCCAAATCTGAAGAAATTGACTCTAACAAAGTTTCGGCTTCCATGGAATGAAATTTCACAAATTGGAAGACTACCCAAACTTGAGGTTCTTAAATTATTATTTAAATCCTTCGAGGGAAAAAGTTGGGACATGAAAAATGGGGAGTTCCTTAAACTAAAATATTTGAAATTAGACAATCTGGATATCGGAGAATGGAATGCCTCAACTGATCATTTTCCGTGTCTTGAGCGACTAGTGTTGCTAAGGTGCAAGCAACTAGGAGAGCTACCTTCTAGTTTAGAGGAAGTTCTTACTTTACAGGTAATTGAGATGGAGATGTGCAGCCCTTCTGCCGCAAAATCAGCCATACAAATTCAAGAATATCAGAAGGAAATGGGAAATGAGGAGTTCAAGATCCTAATCAAGAACTGCTAATTAACTTCCACTGCGTCGCATGGGAAAATGGAACTTATCATGTAAGCAATCTAAACTACTTGATTCCTGTTGCGCTTTCTGCGTGCTTATTTCCTATTCAACATAAATCCTGTTTGAAATTATTTTATTATTCCGGTTTGGCAATCTAAACTACTTTATTTTGTGTGCAATAGTAACTCACTTTTGAAAGCTATGCAAATTATGAATTCAATACTTGTTTGTTGGTATTATACGGCCCCAAAAATACCAAATAATTATAGAAATTAAAGTACACAAAAGATTTTTCGCCCGTAGGCTCTGATGTTCACCCAAATTAGGGCTAAGAACATTCACCGAAGTGATTATCGGGCTCCAATCCACTAGAAACCAACAAATAATCAATACAAGTTTCACAA